CCCTTCTCAGCCACACCTTCCCCAAGCAGCCCTTCTAAACTTTGGTTCCTTGTCATTCTCTACCTCAGCCCCTTGTCTTTTACCTTCATAGTAAATCTCCCCAGCTGCCCGTATTTTCTGGAGGTCTGCTTACTCATCTCTTTCCTGTTTGGTTCAGCATTCAGAGCACAATGCTTGGCATAGAGTTAGTTAAGTGTGGGACAAAATCTGAACTCATGTAATCCTCGTATATGCTGCACTGGGCCCCCTTGTCTATGTTACAGATGACGACACCTCAATGCTGAGGATATCTTGCATGGGGCGGTGAGAGAGCCTTTAGGTTGGGGGCAATTGTGGTACGGTTCCCCGGGACAGGGAAGCATATCACCTCACTCCGATGCGGCAGGCCTGCCACAAGAGGTCACCTGAGTCCACTGAGGCTCTGCTTAGTACCTCACTGCATTCCTTTCACTAGCCCAAGCTCCAAATTACCCTGGGAGTGATGGCCACCTGAGAGCCAGATGCTGCACATCACACTCCTGCAGCAGAGACACGCCCCCTCCACCCCTTCTCTCCACCACAGAGCCTCCCAAATCCCCTTGTCTGTCAGAGTGCTAGTTCATGAAGGGCAGAATCAGGAGCAGTGGTGGGTGACAGAGTAAGAGTTTAGGTGACATACTGAAGAACATATTTTTAATAGTTGTTTTAATTTCACATCAGAAAATTAGCAAATCAAAAATGTGATTTCAGATACCATAGGGGGATACAAAATTCTCACTGCAAACAAGTTTAATTAAATAGAGTAAGTGAGTTAAAAGAAAATGATGACGCAAATAGCAGCACGGGTAGTGTGTGGGGTGAGGGTGGGGTGTAGATGGCTCCTGCCTGGGGAACACTGCTGGCCCACATGACCAAGGACCCCCAGCAGGGTAAAGGTCAAGGTGGGGCTGCATGGAGAGCTGCATTCAAGTGCCCCTCTTCCCACAAGCATGCTGCCAGCAGGTCTCAGCTTCTCTAGGCACTCAGTCAACAGAACAGGTCTTTTCCCAGAGGGCAATTCTGCTACTTCTTTAAAAAAAATAATAAAGGATTGGCCCCATATTGCTACAATATCATTATAAACTATGGTAAGTGTTTTAAATGAAGGAGTGGCCAGGACCAGATCACCTCAGATCTGGCACATCAAGGTAGAGAGTTTGAATCAATCAGAAGCCACTGAAGGCTTAAAAAGAGAAGCATTAGGATTCTATTTACCTGGTTCCTGGGGTGGAAGCTGATTTGGGAGGTTGCAAGAATGTAGGCAGATTCTTAGAAAGCTACTGCAGTAGTCCAGGAGGCTTGGGCCCAGGACGTGGCTGTGACGATGGAGAGGAACAATGGGCTACATATCAAGTGTCTAGCACAGCACTATAAAACATTCACTCAACAAACATGTACTGAACTGCTCCAGGGCTACAGTCTACCCTTGGGTCTGAAGATTTATGGGTAAACGAAATACAACCCTAGCCTCACGGAACTTACTTGTGGGGCGAAGGGGCAACAGGAAAAAAATCAATAAAAACTCAGGGAGCGATAGGTGCTCTGTTGAAAATAAAACAGGAAAAGGTAACTAGGGGACCACTTAGGTGGTTAGGATGGGCCACGATGATGAGATGACAAATTTCATGAAAACTTGCCCTTGTAACAGAGACCCAATAAATGATACCCGCTTAACGTCATTACCATTAATGCAAAACCAAGTACTGGGTGAAGACTTTGCGATCAAAACTGCTTAAATGTCCCAATATTCTTCCTTAATTTAACTCTCTAAGAGGATCGCACCTGCATGCCCATTTTAAAGCACGTTCCATCTAACCTGCCTGTTTCCTTCTTTGAAAGGGGAGCATGGTTTCTGAGGCTACCACAAAACATGGGGAGCCTCTAACAAACACTGAATGAGACACCCCATCACTCTGTAACAAGCTCTAGATGGAACATGAGGAGACAGATGGAAGGTTTATTTTTACCTGCTCTCAATCTTGATTTCATGTAATTCAGTTACCAGTAAGGGGTAAACTGCGGGAACATAATACACACGGCAGGTGACTGACTACCCTGGACAAAAACCAGCACTGAACTCAGCTGGAGGCTGAGTCAGCAGAAAATGTTTCCTGCGAAAGACAACGGAGATTTCAGGCAGCATAAAACATGTCTGTGTTCTAACCTTTTTTTTGTATCTTCTGTCTCAAGGGTATGAAGCATCTGCTTCAGTATGTCTGCTATACTGAAAATAGAGTTTTATGTGCCATGGCCTAAAGTGGCCTCAAACAACAGGCTCATTTTATAAATATTGCAAGAAAGAACTGCGTTCTCAAAAACAAAGTTATCTTTCATAGCAGTCCCGCCCTCCCTCCCCCAACCCCATGTAACTGGTTCATGCCTAACAACTCCACATTATACAACTTTCTTATTTCAGAGGGGTACATTTTGCAACAAAATTTCATGCTGATGGTTCACTGGGAAGTAATGTGTGCATAACATACCGCTCCTGAGATTTCCCTCTGATCCCAGTTCATTGGGCAGGAGCTCCTGCTTTGAAAATAGAAGAGGTCCACATCTTCTTGGCCTTGCTATATGGCAGAAAGCTGTGAGGCTTTCACAGTTACCCTGTTTCTAAAAGAAAGTGTGGAGCTAAAATTGATTTTTAAGAAAACTCCAACCCTGCCCACAGGGAAGTGTCACATCAGGGGCCATGTTTGTTTCGATCATTTTATGCCAGTACCCAGCTCAGAGCCTGGCACAAAGAACACACAATAAAAATGTATGCAAGAAGGAAGAAAGGAAAAGCCCAGAGTTTTTATTAGGTTTCTTAATTTCCACCCTCAATGATATTTATTTTAAAGTATGTAGTCCTGCTTTTGATCAGTAATAAAATAATAATAGCTATCATCAAGAACTATCGTGACCCAATTCACCTAAGATCACCAGGGTTCAACAAAGTTTGACTACAGTTAGTTCACGGATTCACTGCGATGAGGGAGCTGCCCTAGGGTTCCTTGCAAACATTATCCCCAAGACTCACAACAACCCCGAAGGTTGTATTATTCCTTAATTTTACTCAACAGGAAATTAAAGTTCAAAGAAGTAGCCTTCCTCACATGGCTAGTAAATCCTTGTCCATCTAACTCCAAAACTATCACAAGGCAACTCAGAATATCACAGCCCAATCTGCAGCAAGCCCCTAAGATGTTCCTACAGACACTGTAAGCCAGTGGTTTATAAACATTTTTTTTTTAACTATAAGAGGAAACTTCCCTTCAAATAAAATCTTACTAAAACCATAAACAAACAGACATGTATTTGAGGCACAGGGTGTTGCCTCCTTCAGAACTACCCTCATCATTGGGGCAAGGCAATAGGGGCTACTATGTACTTTTAAAATGTTTAATTCAACTTAACCAGACAGGCCATCTGGATCTGCATCTTCTCACTTTTCTCAATGCTTAAATGTTGGACAGCTCCTTCAAAGGGGGTAGGGCAAAACTGGCCTTTTAACGCAGACAGTAATGATCTACCACTACAGAGTTCTATTAACTCCCATGTTCTTAGCTGAACAAACAGCAAAAGAAAAGAAACGGAGGTTGGAACAGGTGGGATTATTTGTTGAAAGGTATTTATTTGAGATGGCCAAAGCCTCTGCCTTAAAAAGACTGTTCTCAGGGGGAGGGGTGGAGGTCAGATCAGGAATGCACCAAGGAGTACTCTATATAGCCTTCAGTGTCATACTGAGCACTGTGGACTTTTCTTTTTATGCAAAATCAAGTGGATGGATGATATGGTGAGATCAGAAATATGCCTAAGAACAGACTGATTGTCTCAAAGGATTCACTAGATTCTACTTTCTAGTTAAAAAAAAAAAAATAGGGTGATATAAATGAGAGTATCTATAGAGTTTGAAAATTAAAATGGCATATAATGTGGCTGTTTATTTCTGAGTACTCAGGACGCCTGAGACAGCAGGACAGGTTTTGTCACATTGTTCAGATCCTCCTGTCAGGATCTGTGTCAGTGTTTGGCCGGCTGACAAAGACATGGGGAGAAGACCCATCTCCGCAAGGAACCTACATGGACATACTGCATGGACGACAAGGTGGCCGGAGCCCATGTCTGGGCTGAGAAATGAGCAGTGTCTGCAAACAAGTTTGCCTGCTGGCTCCTGAGTCACCCATAGCAGCTGATATGCTCCTGACAGGCTAGTCGAGTGACTACAGCACAGGTGTGTCCGGTGCTGCTGGATGGCCAATTCACCCTCTCAGCCCTCATTTTCCTAGGCACTTTCCAGCTGCAGGTAGCTCTGTGATCCAGTTCTGGCCAGTGAAATGTAAGCAGAAGTCAGGCAGCTGGGTGGGGCTTCTGGGAAAGTTTTTTGCCTTCCCGCTGAAAAGGGTCACTCCCAGCTGACAGACCCCATCATCCTTCATCATTCTTCCTATTCCTACCAAGGCCACCGCCATGGTACCTGGAGGTCCAGCTCCCACCTTAAGGCCAAGAGGCACTAAAACATGAGGATGACAAAGTGCTAAGGAAGGTGACACAGAGAGGACAAAAAGTACCTGAGTCCCTGGTATCACCTGTGAGCAACTGCATCAACCTTGAACCACCTACCTCCAGACACACTTTGTCATCAGGACCACATAAATCCATAACTATTGAGGTCACCAGAGCTGGACTTTTGTTACTGTCAGTCGAATGCACTCTTAACTGAGGGGACAGTTTCTCTGGTGACTGAGATTTTTTTTTAACCTGAGAGTAAATGATTTCCCTGGACAAAATAAGGTGTTCTCCTATTGGTCACTAACCTCAACACACATTCAGAATTGCCTCGCTAGAAAAACATAACAGCCATATACCTCACTGTATGGTCCTAGAGCAGATTAAAGAACTGTATCAGTAACTTCGCATATTGAAAAGTAAAGAGTATAAACATGTGCAAGATAGAAGAAACCAAACTACGAAAATAACATACTTCACTGGCACTCTACCTTAGAAATGTTACTTGAATGACTCATGGAATGTCCCAAAGTCTTCTCATTCTGCAAGAAAATGAAACAGGTGATTAAAATGTGCAGAAAATAAGTAATTACTCATAACAATCCTCCTGACAATCATTCCCTCAACTAGAATTTGCTGAGCCCAAACTACTATGTACTAGCAAAAATGAATGACACAGTAGTCCTTGCCTTAATGGAACTTAAGTTAACAAGAACAGGAATTTGGAATTAACTAAAAATAAAAGAGCTCTAAGTGTCTTAAGATACATTCAAATGGAGGTTCAGAGGCAAGAAACTGCATGTTGAGTTTTATCTGAGGTGGTCCATGCCGTAAGGAGCCACTGCAGGATCAGAAAGGAGAAAGTGGGATAGCTGACCCCATCCAGGTAGTTTGGCTGTCAAAAGTGTTGGGTACTCAACAGGGACATCCCACAGCTCACATCTATTCCCTCAAGCCTGTTTCTCCTCCTGGATTAGAGAAATATGAGAGTCATACTAGCCTCCTCCACCTCTAGTCACAAAGTCTTGTATCAAATTCTTCCTGTTTAACGTCTCTCAATCTCCAATCTCCACCCCCCGACCCCCACGTGGCCACAAGCACGGTCGGACTTCAGCAAACAAGCATGCAACAGAGCGCCCCCAGGAGAGGCTGGAGGCACTTACACCAAACCCCGCCCCCCTGTACCAGCAGGGGCATCTTTATTAGGGCAGGTCTCACTGTGAGGCACCAGTGCAGTGGGCCTCTCCCCCAGAGGACCAACACAGGCCCCCTGCATGTACCAAGTCTACTGATCATACAGTGCTCCAAAGTGTTGGCTTCAGTTCTGCTGGAAATAGGACCAGGCTTTCTTTCTTTTTTTTTTTTTCCTTTAGAATCAGGCTTATAGTTTTTTGTTTGTTTTCTTTCTTCATTTTTTGGATCAAACTTTCTTTTTTCTTTCTTTTTCTTTAGAGTCAGGCTTAGGTTTTTGTTTGTCTGTTGGTAGTTTTGTTCATTTTCCTTTTGTCTTGGATCAGGTTTTTTCTTTTTTCTTTTCCAGGCTTATTTTAACAAACAAATCAAAGCACACTTAGTTAAAGGTCCAAACACTCCCCACTGCAAGCAAGGAGGAACTCTGCAGAGGACTGACCTGTGGGAAAGAGTAGCCAAAAAGAATAGCCAAAACACCAACAGTGGAGTGCACACAGCATACACCAGAAACACTTCCTGAAGCACCAGGCCCTGGACAGTGTATGACCCCCTTCTTAATATAGCATTACTCTCAGGAGCAGAAAACATAACAAGATTTCATAACATGCAAAAGATAGAAACCTAGACAAAAATGACAAGACAGAGGAATTTTCCCCCAAAAGAAAGATCAAGAAGAAATCATAGCCAGGGATTTGCTCAAAACAGATATAAGCAATATGTCTGAACAAGAATTTAGAACAACAGTCACATGAATACTAGCTGGGCTTGAAAAATTCATAAAAGACACCAGAGAAACCCCCATCTTGCAGAGATAAAAGATCTAAAAACGAGTCAGGCTGAAATAAAAAATGCTATAACTGAGATGCAAAACCAACTGGATATAATCACAATGAGGATGGAAGAAGCAGAGGAATGAATAGGTGATACAGAAGATAAAATTATGGAAAATAATGAAACTGAAAAGAAGAGGGAAAGAAAACTATTAGGTCACAAATACAGACTTCGGGAACTCAGCAATTCCATAAAGCGCAATAATATCCATATCATAGGAGTCCCAGAAGAAGAGTGAGACAAAAGGGCAGTAGGTTTATTGCAACAAATTATAGCTGAAAACTTCCCTAAGCTGGGGGAGGAAACAGGCATTCAAGTCCAAAAGGCACAGAGAACTCCCCTCAGATTCAACAAAAACAGATCAACACTAAGACATATCAGAGTGAAACTTGCAAAATACAAAGATGAAGAGAATTCTGAAAGCAGCTAGGGACAAAAGTTTCTAAATCAACAAGGGCAGACACATAAGGTTAGCAGCAGACCTGTCCACAGAAACTTGGCAGGCCAGAAGAAAGTGGCATGATATATTCAACATGCTAAATGGGAAAAATACATAGCCAAGAATACTTTATCCAGCAAGGCTGTCATTCAGAACAGAAGGAGAGAGAGTTTCCAAAAGAAGCAAAAACTAAAGGAGTTTGTAAACACTAAACCAGCTTTGAGAGAAATATTAAAGGAGACCCTTTGAGCAGGAAAGAGAGAGGAAAAGCAACACAGAAAGGAACAGAGACAATCTACAGGAACAGCGACTTTACAGGTTATACGATGGCACTAAATTCATATCTATCAATAATTACTCCGAATGTAAACGGACTGAATACTCCAAAGACACATGGTATCCGAATGGATAAAAAAACAAGATCCATGGATATGCTACTTACAAGAGACTCATCTGAGACCCAAAGACACCTCCAGATTGAAAGTGAGGGGGTAGAGAACCATTCATCATGCTAATCTCCAATCTCATTTACATTTCTACTGTCAATGCCTTAGGCTTAGTTTCTCTTCATTTCTCACTTGAAATTCTTGAATACCTTCCTAACTTATCTTTCTGCTCTGAAAGTGACATCCCTGATACATAATTGCTATGGACTGCATTGTGTCCCCCCAAATTTGTATGCTAAGTTCTAGCCCCTGATACTCAGAATGTGACTATATTTGGAGCTAGGGTCTTTAAAGAGGTAATTATGTTAAAATGAGGTCATTAGGGTGGGACTTGATCCAATATGAATGGTGTTCTTATAAGAAGCTGAACTTAGGACATAGGTACACACAGAGGGAATAGTATCATGTGAAGACACAGGGAGAAGGCAGGGGCAGCTATCTGCAAGCCAACGAAAGAGTCCTCAGATGAAACCAAACCTGCTGACACCTTAATCTCAGACTTCTAGTCTGTAGAACTGTGAGAAAATTAATTCCTGTTGCTTAAGCACCCACTGCCTGGTTATTTTTTTATGGCAGCCCTAGCAAGTAATACAAGAATCTTCCACACTATAACTTTCTTAAAAAAAAAAAAAATCAATAAATGTTCGAAATATAAATCCAATTTTCTAAAAATAAGAAAGTAACTCTCACTGAATCCAATATTTCTTGCTCTGAACCCAAATGAGTAAAAAAACAAAAACAGAAACTATTACCAATGGAAGAGATTATCTCACTTGTATTTTTAAGATTATCATATTCTCTACTCATCTCACATGCTTTGCAATAACCATGGGGAAGACCAGAGAAGTTTGAGATGTAATTAGCAGGTAAAATTCTTTTGGTCAGTCAGTAGTACAAAGGGAGCTAGTGGATCATTTTAAAACTACTTTGAAAAGAGTTGATTCCATTCCACCAAGCCTCTCCTTAAAGAGAACTAGCAATCAAGAAAATTTTAACTTTCCCCTTTCCCACAACCCACCAAATGACATACTGCCTTGACTTTGGTACACTTGGCTTTTGAACACTCGACACCCCTAAAATGTTAGTGAAGAAACATTTCAAGAGCTCCCAAGTGGCCTGCCAACCAGCACTTGTTTTAGCAATGTTGTCTCGTCTTTACAGCAACGTGTCTGTGCAATTTTTTTGAGTATTTTCATTATATTCTCTTATTTTATAAATCTGAGTGAAAACAGAAGTTCAAATCTCTTAAGTATAATACAATACAGACACTGCTATTAAATGTTTAGCATCAATGGAATGTTTCTTGGTCTTAAGCTAGTCAATTAGATAGTTCTAGGAAAAAAACAAAATTATAAAGTATGTTCAAAGTGTTGACAATGTCAACAAAGACTATTTCTAAAAGACCAAAAGAATCAGAAATTTCATTCATTCATCTTATTCATGCATTCACTCACTGGGAGTGGGGAGTCTCTCTGTCCACAGCACAGGTAAATCTGTAACCCTTCAAGTGTCATTCATGAGTCAACAATGTTCGATGGACAAACACAGGGCACTGCTGTGTATCCAAGCTTAAAGGCTCATCTACTGGCAATTTACTACTAAATTTTAATTTACCTTACTAAATTAAAACAAAGATACCATATGCCCTGGAATATCTGTACAGAAAATCATTATAACCACTATGACATTAGCCAGTACCTTAAAGGAAAGGGCCAGTTTAACACCACCTGAAATCTACAGAGACGTTCTGAGGCACTAAGAGAAGCAGTAATTTCTATCCCTGACTTTTTTGACATTTATGATTCCATACAGAGGGGTTACTGGGGTGGGGAGAGGCCTAGGTGTTAAGCTAGGTAACATTATAAATCCAGACTGAGATCTGAAAGTTGCTCTTTACCTTATGAACTTGAGAAATAAATTTAATGATGTAAGCCTGTATCCAGTTTTCCTTGTTAGAACAATTCAATATTTTACATTGGTAAAAATTAAACAAATTATCTAGCCCCAGAACATACAGATGTTTTAAAGCCTGAAACCTGTCAACATTTAGAATTGCTTCATCATTACCTGGCAGAAAATTAACAATATAGTTCCAACAGACCATTTTTTTTCCCCTTTAAATACTACTACATTTATTCGGACTTATTGAAAAAAATCTAAGAAGTTCAGGACCATAACAGACTTATTTTTCAGGAAGCAAATCCCAGGATTCACTCAAACCAGTGATTCATTCATTCCATACTTATTTACTGTTTGACTAACACATGCAAACAATTGTATTAGGCACAAAACATGGACAAAAATAAATCTGACTCCTAAGCCTGTTCTAATGATCATGTTAATTAACCACAGAACTTCTTTGAAATAGTGTTTCAATGAGAAATATACAACCAGGGAAGAAAATGAATAAAAAAAATTTTTTTTTAATCATAAAAAGCACAAACGAATTATATCAGGACAGTGGGTGACACCATTCTTTCCTACAGTCACATTGGCATGTTTCTGAATGAAAAGAAGGAAAGGTTACCAAACATCAATGTCAAGAACTGGAATTAGCCGTTCCAAAGAGAAAAGAGTTTCATTCCAGTTCAAGACAAAACTAAGCTTCAATGCCCAAGTGATACAAACCTTAGCA